AAATAACATAAAAAACTCTTTCTGAATTAAAATTGAATTATTTTTCTTTTATTTTAATAGTTGAATTCTTGTTTTATATTGAAACTGATCAATTTATTTCTGAATACTTTTGCAGAGCTTATATAATTAATGGATAATAAGGTCACTCTACTTATTTCTTTGTAGTTTCAAAGTAAAGAAGAATAATATGTTTTCATTTTTCTTCTACTTGCGAAGAAAACTGAAGCAGAGCTGACGAGGATAATCATTTGCGATTTTTTTTAAAACAAATTTATACAAGTCTCTAGCTTTTGTTCATTCTAATAGATTACTTTTTATCAAATGAACTCATTCCAATTTATTAATTTTTGTTTTTATTATTGAAAAAAAATCAATTCTTTATGTTTTCCAGTAAAATTCACTTTCGTCTATTTTATTTCGACTTTGAATAAATAATGTTTTTTTCCTCAATTGGATTTTGAAATATGATTTTTATCTTTGACTAAATATTTCTTTATATTTTCATGAGATGCAAATAGATACTTTTGACGTTATAATGAAATCTTGCAAAATTCGTCGAATGTGAAGACAACATTTTTATTTATAAATTGATCATATGGTTAACATCCTATGATACGTTTCTAATCTTGTTCACGATGAAAAGTTCTTCGGTTAGTAAAAGTAAGTCCTGCAACATTACACTGACGTTTTGTTCAAACAATCGCTACTAGAGTCAAATGAATATGTTAACGTATTCACGAATAGGAGATGATACATCAGCATTAGATTTACAAAATTTAGCAGCCACGCCGGCAGCTCTGGTATGAATATAATCGAGCATTATTTATGTCAATCAGATTTAATAATGAAAAAGATTTTTTGATTTTTCTTTTTTCGTTTATATTTTTTCAAAGTTTATGATCTACTTTTTTTTCATTGACAATATTTGAATTAACTGTCTATTTGGATAAGAAGAAATTAGATAGGCATCCTGATTAGAGCTCAGTCATTCATGATAAGTCCATTAAAGAAAATCTCAACGGGTACAGTTAATCAAAATTACTAGACCACATACAGTCAAATATTCGATTACTTTCTGTCGTCACTATTTATTAGGAGAGAATCCTCTTATTGAAGGTAATCGAAACAAAATGATTAATATTTCACTATCTGATTTATATTCTAAAGGCATCTAATTCTCAATGAGATATTGTAAGAAATAATGTAAGTGCTCAAAAATTCTCTTCATGGCATCACAATCCTTGCTATTTACTAAACGAAAATCAGTCTAAACAACATGAAGCGTTCTAATTCAGCTATCTTTCTGATCTTTTTTGTTTTACTGACGAGTCTGAACAGTATGAATAGACAGAATGAACTAATTAGTATATGCTTAGTGGAAACGGAAATATTCGTTAAGACGATCAGACGAGTATTCATATAGATTCTTTATTCTTTTGAAAGCTGTTTTTATGCCAATAATAAGGTTATGATCTGATTGCACGCATCTTCTATTGGGTTAATGATATAAAAACTGTCGGTCAATATGTAGCTAGCGGCTGTGACCTCATAACTGGCAGAAACTGCCTATTCATTCTTTTTTCTATCTTTTCACCTTTGTCTCCTTGCTCTTTCTCTTTCTCGTATATAAGCTCGTGTTCGATCTGAAATGAACACAAGCACAGTAATAGACTAGCATAGTGAACTTCTATACTGACATGATAATAATATAACGAACCTGACTATCTACCATCGTTCTCCTATACAATTCAATTCTAAACGAAGCAACAACAATGATGTTCGAATCTCATTCACAATTGTCAAATAGCGATGATATGGAACCAATGATAGTACGTATGGGTTCATCAAGTAAACAATTACCTAAACATCCTGTACAATTTACACCTGAAGATTTACGTACATATCTCGAACCAATTATTCACAAAATGATCGCTTCGGAAGATTCGTATTCATTTCAACAACCAGTTGATCCCATTTCACTTAAAATACTTGATTATCCAATAATAATTAAACATTCAATCGATATATCAACCATACATAATAAAGTATTACGTGGAGAATATAAAAATCCATTAGAATTCTGTGATGATGCATGGCTTACATTTAATAATGTATGGCTTTCTAATGAAAAAACAACACCTATCTATGGAATATGTTCAAAACTTGCAGAATTATTTGTTGAATCTATTGATCCTGTTCTAGAGGCATTAGGTTATTGTTGTGGTCGTCAATATGTATATTTACCACAAGCTTTGTTATGTTATGGCAAGAAACAATGTTGTCAAATCTCAGTTAATGATAATTATTATTATTATAACAATCTCGAATCATCACGATTTAATTTGTCCAATGATCAATATACATTTTGTGTACAATGTTTTAATTCAATTGAAAATGATTCGATATTTATCGGTGATGATCCAACTCAAACATTAGTTCAAATACCGAAATCATTATTTTTATCAGCTAAAAATGATATAGAACAACCTGAAACAATAATTGATTGTATTGTGTGTACACGTCGTTTGCATCAAGTATGTACATTACATTTAGATCAAATATGGCCTGAAGGTTTTATATGCAATACATGTATACAACAATACAATATAACACGTAAAGAAAATCCTTATACAGCAGCAAAATTACCAATCAATGATTTATCATTACAATTAGAAAAACGTGTTAATGATTTTTTACTTCATGAGCATTGTCATACAGGTCGTGTTACAATTCGAATATTATCTGTAAGTGATAAAATATGTCAAGTAAAACCACAATTAAAAAAATATTATCCAAACCAAGCGGCAGATGGTTATCCATATCACACTAAAGCTATATATGCTTTTCAAGAAATCGACGGTGTTGATGTTGTTTTCTTTGGTATGTATGTACAAGAATATGATGAACATTGTCCTGTACCAAATACACGTCGTGTTTATATATCATATTTTGATACAGTACAGTTTTTTCAACCAAAAATTTATCGTACAACTGTTTATCATGAAATTTTAATTGGTTATTTGGATTATGTTAAACAAAATGGATATATGTATGCTCATATGTGGGTTTGTCCAGCAAGTGAAAATATTGCTTACATATTTCATCGTCATCCATTCGAACAGCATATGTTGAAACTAAAGCACATGCAAGACTGGTGTAAAAATATGCTGGATAAAGCAATTGTAGAACATATTGTTATTGATTATAAGGTAAAAATATAAATAGGAACTCTTTGTTCATTAAAAATTACTCAATCAAGTAGTAGTTGATATCTGTAAATAAAATATCAATTTTACTAGTATTTTATTTATTTAGGATATTATGCAAGATTGTTTGGATAATCAAGTACAAACAGTCGTTGACATCCCATATTTCGATGGTGATTTTTGGCCAATTATTATTGAAGACAATATAGAAAGTATGCTTTGTTATTGATGCAAAAAAAAATCGTATTTTATTTGTTTATATTTTAGAACTTGATCAAAAAGAAGAAGATCGAAAGAAACAAGAATTTAAAGTAGTACGATCTATGGAAGATGAACACTTCGGTGATTCTATTATATCAGAAGATGCAACACAAGTAAATAGATATTTTAAAATTCAACTAAAGATTATTTCGTGTAATCTTACGAGTAGAATAGAATGAAAATCGAGATCAACAGATAAGTGCATAGATTTAATGAATATGAATATCTTGCTCGTCTAATTTTAATAGTCGCTATTGAAATCTTGATTTTACCTACAATATCAATACTTTGTTTTTATTCTCATTTAGATTTCTGGTAAACGTAAATCTTCAAATATGTATGAAAAGAAAAATTTTAAAATAACAGCAAATCAAATGTCGAATTGTACTGATTTATTATCTATAATATTTTCAATGATGAAAGAATATAAAGAGGTAAATTATGAAAAGAAAAAAACAAAGTGTTAGAAGTGAAAATTTTCCATCTTGAATTTAATCTGAAAGTAATTAAAGATTTATATTAAGCCCATCGGGCTTCTATTTTTTTTTGAAAATTAGAAGTTGAAAGATGGTTTTTCTATTGTGACCCGTTTTTTTTTCGTCTTCAACAGCAAAATTTCAAAATTCTCTTCTCAAAAGATTCACATGCTGTTTTTCAAACATTATCATCCTTATAAATTACATCTGTATCGTTCTTTAGGCATTCTTTGTTATTCGTCTTCATAATCAAATAATATCCTATCCAACAGTTAATGACACTAATGATCTCGTTCAATGTGATCTAATGAATTCGGGAAACACATTTTTAAATTTTGCTCGTAATGAAAATTATGAATTTTCTTCATTACGTCGTGCTAAATTTTCAACCATGGCATTATTATATGAATTACATACATCAGCAACAAATAAATTTACATATTATTGTAATACATGTCAACAAGAATGTGATATACATTTTCATTGTGCATTATGTGAAGATTTTGACTTATGCGAAAAATGTTATAATATTGAACCAAAACATGAGCATAAAATGTTTAAACATAATTCATTAAATATCAATGATAAACCTATAGGAAGTATATAATTACAACGACAATTGTTAATGCAACTTTGTATTGAGACACTATCACATGTTGTTCAATGTCGCATGGATAATAATATTAATTATGCACTTGTTTTCATTCTAAGCATGTTATACAATACACAAAAAATTGTAAAGAAAAAAAATAGTCAATGTAATATATACAAAATTATTCCTTTTTGTGCCATGTTAAGGATTATATGGATCAAATTTGACAAGTTTCATTTTGTAAGAATTTTAGATTTAAAGTACAAAACAACGTATTTTCAAACACATCGATGTTATATGCAAGCATAAATACCAGATCAATAATTTCTTTTATAGAGTTCTATTTCTAAATAAACTCATATTTGTTCTATATTGATTATATTTATGTAGAGTTAATTTTTGCGAATTAAAGAAATAAAAAAAAAGTCAAGAATATTTATGTTGTAATGGTTTGACGTCTTATCTATTTTCATAGCTAACGGATATGTATCAGGCAAAATTAAACATACATTTTAAAAATTTACATTGTTAAACGACATTGTACTTGATTGTTTTAGTGATTGATGAAAAGCAGTGAAATTACGAACTTTATGATTTTAATTCAAAAGTATATAGTAAATTTGAGATGTAGAGTTCGCTAAGAAGGAGGGAAAAAAAAGAGAACAAAATGAGAATAAAAAAATATATAAAATATCATTAGTAATCATATGGTTTGAGAATAGTTTATTCATTTTTTTGTATTACGGATAGTAATGATAAAATTTAAATATCAATTGTTTTTTCTTAGCAATCCCTTTATAGATGATTGCTACATTTCTTTCTCAGTACAAAAAGAAAAGAAATAATCATCAAACAGCTGATACCATATAATGTTAATTAGTAGGCATCCTATGTTAAGCATTCAATCCACGAATAATTTCTGATATGAAAAAAGAATTTTTATCTTCAATTGGGCTAAAAAAATACTATTGTAAAAACGAAAAAAAATCAATAATTTATAATTTAACAATAATTCCTTTTATGTATAAAACTTTGTGTCTGTTAATTTAACCTCCAACATGTATCATATCTGTTTTATCTGCGAAAAGATTATTGATATATTCATTAATGAAATAATCAAATGATCTGCCGAAATTTCTGAATGCAAATGATAATTACAAATCATTTCTAAATTAAAAAAAATACAGTTAGAATAATGCGCCTAATATAAAATCAATTTTGCCGATTTGTATCACCTTGATGAAAATGTATCGATAAAATGGTTAAATAAAAATCGCGAAACAGCTTTACTTGACGATATTGAAATTAATTTTATTCACAAATCTCAAGATACTTAACGAATTGAAGTAAAAACAACGTCAAAACATGTTGATAATTATCAGTTTTCAATATCAATACAAGAAGGGTGGGTGGTATGAATGTGCGTGTGAATGTTTCGAAAAAGCGGATTCATACCCACACCCACACACCTACACCTGACATCCACCTCATACCTACGTCAACAACCATGCCATATCCACACTCTTTCGAGCTGAATTTTAAGCAAGAAATAGAAGACTCATTCGTTCGTCAACTGCTAGTGAAGAAAGTAACCGAAGATCTCATCATTGAACCGAAGAAGATATGCAAACACAAGGAAAAAAAGTAAATGACTCAAAAGCTATTCAATGTGAAAGAAAGAATAATCCAAGAAGTACAGGAATATTGCGCTCAACTCAACACTGTGGAATCCTTCGTCTACAAGACAGTTAATGAGTATACGAGACTTGATGGTAACAAACAACATGAGCAACTCGTCAGAAGCATGATGCTCACTTTCGGGTCATTTTCTGTGCTTCTTTCTAGTCTTTTCGTTCAATGACGAATTACCTAAAATAAAACGACATCGTTTCAAGGAGCAAATCTGTCGGATACATTAATTGAACAATTTCGTCAAGCATTCCTAACTCCGTATGAACACAGTTGAAAATGTTTTTTTTTTTGCATTTAGACCGACGAGTCGTAATCGAGACAAGGCTACATTTGTCGCAGAAAATGTTGTTTTTATCATTGCTCTTGTGGAGCATTCGATGATATGAGATGCTTCGTCTTATTCAAACTTTGATGAAGACGAGTAACTATTCCTTATCTCTTTTGCGTCACATTCTATATTTTCAATGTAGACAAGAACAAATAGATTATTTATCTAACAAATTCTGACGTCTAACTGACGTACATCGGTTTCTCATCAAGATAAATAGCAAGTGCAGCTAATACTCGGTGATCATGAAATAGGTTTGAGTGTTCATAGACCTGACTCTGACTCTTATTATGTATGAGTGTACGTGTGGATGTGACCATTGACATCGATGCAATTGGTGTGTTGTAGGTAAACAGATGNTTTCTATATTTTCGTTGTGTATTGTCTTTTTCCTCTTCTTTTTTCACGTCTTGTCAAGTATTGTTTGTATTATCATAATCACATTTTTTCGATTTAGCAAAACGAAAATGATATAATCAAAAAACATTGTGTTAATTCAAGATTTTCTTGCATGAAAAATTTTTGTTTTATTTTGCTATTTCGTACAAGAAATAGATTAAACGTATTCGTAAAAATCAACAACAGTAATTGACCTGCAGACAACTCTAGTTGATATAATTAGTTTTGAAATATCTTATTTACCGTTTTATTTCAATTAGATTTTTTTTAATCTTTCTGAAACCTTTCGAAAAAGTTATCACGAATTCCAATATATATTTAATTTACATACCAAAAAAAAAAAAAGTTCTCTTTTACTTATATTTCGAAAGAGTATTTATCCATTTTAGTTATTTAATGAATAAAAATAATGATTCGTCGTATAAAAGAACAGTTAAATATGATTTATTCTTTTTTTGTGTGTGCATATTTTCTTTGCACATGAATGATGTTGTTTAATAAATATATTTAGCAATACATTTTACTGTATGACCGAAAAGTTTATTTTCTTTTCTCTTTACCTTTTTTAGCTTAAACATTGATTAATATATAAAACGATAAAAATAAAAATGTGTCATCAATCAAATTATCATGAAAATCAATCTATTAAAATGAATCCTATTAATAATCAACCTTCATCATCAAAACAAAAAAGTTTTCAACACAAATTCATTCGGTTAGTTTTAATTTAAATTCGAAAAAGAAAATTCATTTTCAATTCAATTTAGTGAATAACATCATTTTGTTAAATGGAAAAATAATATCACAAGTTCAATGAAACGTCAACGAAAAATTCCTAAGTTTAGTTTCTTGAAAATTTAGTACATATTTTAATTGTTTGTTTTATAGTCAAGTTGTAATCACTACTAGTGATAGTTTAATTCGAGTTAACAGAAATTATCATAATTCATTATCAACAAAAACAAAACGTGATAGAATAACAATAAATGTTAGTGGAAAGCGCTATCAAACATATGTATCTACTCTTGAAAATTATCCAAATACATTATTGGGTAATAAACAAAAACGAATGTATTATTGGAATGAACAAGAAAATGAATTATTTTTTGATCGTCATCGAACTTGTTTTGAAGCAATACTTTATTATTATCAATCAAATGGACGTCTTCGTCGACCAGATTATGTTTCATTAGATACATTTTTAGAAGAAATTTCATTTTTTGATTTAGGTCCACAAGCTATTTCACAAATACATCAATTAGAAAATGTTTCAATTATTAAACATATTGATTTACCAAATTGGTCTTGGCGTCGTTATATTTGGTTTTATTTAGAATATCCTCAACATTCAATATGTGCTCGAATTCTTCATTTTATTTCAATGTCAATAACTTTGGTATTTGGTATGACATTAGCTATTGAAACATTACCAAAATATAATAAACAATGTTATAATTTATGTGAAAAAGAAGAAAATATAACATTATCAACAAATGATATACCAATATGTTCAGCAAGATTTTCTTCACCATTTTTTATAATTCAAACAATATGTGTATCTTATTTAACGATCGAATTTATTTTACNAAAAAAGCAGTTTTAGTGCATCTACGAGCTTTTTTCCTTGGTCACGTTTCAAACCCGTACATATACGGATACTGTTCGCAAAGGGTTTAGATACATAGATCAATCATTTTGAAAATTTAATTGCTCGATTAAAATCTTTCGCAAATTTTTCTTTTTCCAGACAAGATGAAGAGATGACTGATTTTTTTAAATAGAAGATTAAAATCGATACCTTTACTCTTTTAACTGTCTTATTCATCGTATTCAACATTATCGTTTACTTCGTTCGATAAATGATGCAACTATTACTGTTGAATATATTATGTTTGTAAAAGAGGACAGATACAATATCCATATCACTGATTACAGTGACCATCAAATATAGACTCTATTTAATATTACTGATTCATTGGTAAAAGAAAACATGATAGATCAAACAAAGGAAAAAAATGTCACTTATTAATTTTGGTTTTTTCCAAAGTAACTGTAGTTAGTGAAATTGTCGACGATAATTATCTTTTTTCTTTGTGAGACGACTATCGAAATGATTAATCAGAACTTTTCAAACTTATATGATGACCTGGTTCTTGCGTTTTGGAAATCAAATGTAGATGCATCACCTTACTATTTAAGAACACTTTGACAAATTTATTCGAATCAAGCAAAAAAAGGATTTGACTGAGGGGAATAATTTATTTAGATTTAAAACAATTGGATAGTAAATTTTGCACTCGTGCTACTGCGAAAATCGATTGTCAAATGTAAATGCCCTTGCTTGTTATTACAAGTATCGCTTAGTTTCTATATTTTCGTTGTGTATTTTCTTTTTCCTCTTCTTTTTCACGTCTTGTCAAATATTGTTTGTATTATCATAATTACATTTTTTCGATTTAGCAAAACGAAAATGATATAATCAAAAACATTGTGTTAATTCAAGACTTTCTTGCATGAAAGATTTTTGTTTTAATTTGCTATTTCGTGCAAGAAATAGATTAAACGTATTCGTAAAAATCAACAACAGTAATTGACCTGCAGGCAACTCTAGTTGATATAATTAGTTTTGAAATATCTTATTTACCGTTTTATTTCAATTAGATTTTTTTAATCTTTCTGAAACCATTCGAAAAAGTTATCACGAACTCCAATATATATTTAATTTACACACCAAAAAAAAAAGTTCTCTTTTATTTATAGTTCGAAAGACTATTTATCAATTTTAGTTATTTAATGAATAAAAACAATGATTCTTCGTATAAAAGAACAGTTAAATATGATTTATTCTTTTTTTGTGTGTGCATATTTTCTTTGCACATGAATGATGTTGTATAATAAATATATTTAGCAATACATTTTACTGTATGACCGAAAAGTTTATTTTCTTTTCTCTTTACCTTTTTTCAGCTTAAACATTGATTAATATATAAAACGATAAAAATAAAAATGTGTCATCAATCAAATTATGAAAATCAATCTATTAAAATGAATCCCATTAATGATCAACCTTCATCATCAAAACAAAAAAGTTTTCAACACAAATTCATTCGGTTAGTTTTAATTTAAATTTGAAAAAAGAAAATTCGTTTTCAATTCAATTTAATGAATAACATCATTTTGTTAAATGCAAAAAAATAATATCACAAGTTCAATGAAACGTCAACAAAAAATTCCTAAGTTTAGTTTCTTGAAAATTTAGTACATATTTTAATTGTTTGTTTTATAGTCCAGTTGTAATCACTACTGATGATAGTTTAATTCAAGTTAACAGAAATTATCATAATTCGTTATCAACAAAAACAAAACGTGATAGAATAACAATAAATGTTAGTGGAAAGCGCTATCAAACATATTTATCTACTCTTGAAAATTATCCAAATACATTATTGGGTAATAAACAAAAACGAATGTATTATTGGAATGGACAAGAAAATGAATTGTTTTTTGATCGTCATCGAACTTGTTTTGAAGCAGTACTTTATTATTATCAATCAAATGGACGTCTTCGTCGACCAGATTATGTTTCATTAGATACATTTTTAGAAGAAATTTCATTTTTTGATTTAGGTCTACAAGCTATTTCACAAATAGATCAATTAGAAAATGTTTCAATTATTAAACATATTGATTTACCAAATTGGTTTTGGCGTCGTTATATTTGGTTTTATTTAGAATATCCTCAACATTCAATATGTGCTCAAATTCTTCATTTTATTTCAATGTCAATAACTTTGGTATTTGGTATGACATTAGCTATTGAAACATTACCAACATATAATAAACAATGGTATAATTTATGTGAAAAAGAAGAAAATATAACATTATCAACAAATGATATACCAATATGTTCAGCAAGATTTTCTTCACCATTTTTTATAATTCAAACAGTATGTGTATCTTATTTAACGATCGAATTTATTTTACGTTTAATTAGTACACCATCATATTATAGATTTCTATTGTCTTTATATAATTGGCTTGATTTAAGTGCTATTGTACCTTATTTTGTACTTTTAGGTATCCAATTAAATCATAAAGAAACATATTTAAATACACGTTTGCTTATTGGTTTATATGTATTTCAATTATTAAGCTTTTTACGTATAGTAAAAGTTTATTTAATTTGGAATCAATTGAAATCATTACGTGTTCTTAGTTCGACATTAAAAGAATCATTTATAGATTTTATTATTATGATTATTGTATTGACTCTATTGGGTTTTATGTTTGGTGTCGCTACTTATTTTGCTGAAAAAGGTGTTAACGATGATGCTTTTGATTCGATTCCAAAAGCTACCTATTGGGGAATAATAACTATAACAACAGTTGGGTACGTATTTCTATCGAGTGGACTATTCAAAACAATGATACGCTTCACTATTAGAAGTATATCTATTTTAAAAAAAGAATTTAATTAAATAAGTTTGTACAATTTTATTGCTTGAAAAAAAAACAGTATGAGAGATAAGTCGAATCATTTATTCAACTGAAAGGGCAAGATGCGTTTGTAAATACTCCAACTTCTTGAAGATTATTATTTACCAACAAGAAGTTTTCACGAATAAATATACACCGAAAAAGATTAAAATCAAATGAAATCTATCTTCAAAGTTGAAAAATCAGATTCTTTTCTGTTTTCTTACGAGATAAACCTTCGTTGAGAAAGGAAATAAAGTTCGGGCTGAGCGATTCGACAAAAACTTAGGCCCATTCAGCCTAGGAAGTTGATAAAACAGTGCATAACACTTGAGGACGCAGTGATACACTAAAATCAGTGTATTGATAACTACAGTACTAAAAGATGAATGATGCCCTAAAGTTTCCTAGGTTGTAGATAAAGAAAACTTATCTTACACTCCATATAGTTTTCTACATTTCTCAGAATATTTCGAAAACGAAACTGGTATTGATATGAATTTCAAATCGACTAGTCTGGTACATAGTAGTGCGAATTGACAAATTCCAACCATTGAAAAGAATGAAAAAAAATCAACTCTGACATTCACCATATATTGCAAAAAATAGGATGGATTATAGAAGATATGTAATAGAAAAAAAATCATTTCTCAAAGAATTGACTATTTTTATATTGGTTATATTTTTAATAAATTAGATATGGAGATATGTATCCAGTAACAGTAATCGGTCGAATTCTTGCTTGTTCATGTGCTTATTTTGGTGTTGCAACGAGTGGTATGCTTGTTTCTGTACTTGTTGATCGTTATCAACGTGTTTATAATCGAAAAAAGTTTTCTCCTGAACAAATTCTGTCAGCTGCCGATCTATCTGACAACCAGTATGATGAAAAACAAGATTTTATAAATAGAACAGTAAGTGAAAGTAAAAGAACTTTATCAAGCAAACCAAGTTTACCAATGGAACCAGTACCTTCAATATATTCACCTACAAATAATACAAAATCTACTGGACATAGTACGTCATCAGTTCGTGTTCTATTTATTATTTCGCTTACTGATAATGGAACAAATAATAACTTGACGCATCAAAAAGCAAATGAACTTATGGAAGAATTAAAAGAAGCATTGAAAAATAGTAAAGATCAGATTAATTTAAAATTAATAAGTAGTAAAACAGATCCTGTAAGCGACAGAATATCAACTGTAAATGAAATGNCACTTCTTACTAAACATCAACTGATTATTTTTCAATCAACCGCATATTAATCATTAATGAAATGTTTACTCTATTTCGGAAATTAAAATTTAGTTCTGTACGATGTCGGAATCTTGAGTTATCCAAGATTAACAAAAGAAGCATTTTTTTCCGACAGAATTAAGTCTACTGACTCTATATATTAGGACTTAGGCATAGAAATGAAGGGTTAGATATACTTATAATTAGATAGAAATAGGCATTGAAAGAGTATTCATGAGCTCAGTAGTATTATTTTGGATGTATGGTGCAAGTTCGACTATAAAATCTGTTTTAAAACGAAAGAAAAAAAGTTTGGTACGGAACTTAACAGGAGTTTCGAGTTATTTCAGCTTTTCAAGCTCTTTCTAGTCTTCGTACTGTGCTGCTTTTCCTTAGTGTAGGAAACAAAATAGCATCGTACAACTGAAAGTAATTGCACCACCTCGACTGCATCATCAAAGCACATGCAGTCTTTGAAGAAATTGATTTAAAATTCGCATACTGTGCAAACACGGGTTATTTACGGATATCTCAACGGTTGGATATAAGCGTCTATAAAAAATCACATATGATCAATAGATGGTTCGTTTATGACAAGTACAATTTACGAACCACATTTCTGCGTTTGATAATACGGTTAAATACGACACTGTGTCAGTTCATCTACATAGCATTTACTGACGTTCAAATACTGCTTTTTCCATTGTTTATATGTCGAAAATCTACCGAAAATGGATCCCTTTTGATTGGCATAGGTAGTATGATCAAATTCTTTTACTATTCATACTTATTTCGTTTGTATTCTCTCTATTTCAAATATAGGGGTGACGCTTTGGTTCTAAATAACATCTATAACAAATTTTCTACCAAATTAAAGCATGTCGAAAATGAGATTTATAGAGGCTAAATAGTAAAGGTTATGGCAACCTTTTAGTATCGAATTCAAGAAATTTCTAGAATTTCACACCATCTTCACATTGAAAAATTACTTTCATGAGGCAGTTCAAACTAGATCTCATTTAAAATGATGGATAACAAAGTACTCGACACTTGGTCTGGAAAAATTGGAACAGTAATTAAAAATGAAACGCAAAGAAAATGCTATAGGAGATGAAACACAATCGTTATGATGAAGAAACTTTGAAAAACATGGAAACAAACATTGAGTTATTTGAAACCATTTCATGTTCGTATCCGTCTCATCTTCGTGCTGTAAAGAAAGCTAATGGTCATTATACTGATTATTGGTCATATTCATCAAACCATAAGATATATATATAGTACTTTGTGATATTTCTTATTTTAAATGAGATCTAGTTTGAACAATCTCATGAAAGTGATTTTTTTTTCAAGGTGAAAATGGTGTGAAATTCTAGGAATTTCTTGAATTCTACACTCAAAAGTTGGTTGTGGGTGTGTGTTAAGAGAAGAAGAACTTACACCCACACCCATCCACACCCCACACCCCCACGCCCAGAAGAACAACAATGTGGTTTGACCACTACAAGTGATCCGGTTACTTGGTTAGTTTTGATTATGAACACACGATTTACATCATCACTTAATTCTTCTCGTGATTTGATTTACGGAGCCATATTAAACGATACAGATGTAATTTTAACATACTCTATATCGGCTAGCATTTCACAAGTGAGAAATAGCTGTTTCTATCTAGCTACAGCACATAGTCGAACAAATGAACTAGTCGTACAACAGTTGAAATTTGGAGAAGGTTTTAAAAGAGCACTGACTGTACTTATCGATTCAATCATTGTATCACAAATGACAACCAACTTCGCGTTGACAATCTTATTTGCAACTAAAAACTATCTGTTTGTCTTGGATGAGTTGAATATTTATCGATAAGCTGCAGAATTTTGATATTGTTCTTATTTTTAATAAGGAATATGAGACCATCACATTTTTCCTTCAATATTCAGTGTAGGTGTATACTGGGTGGGCTATGGACGTGCATGTTTCTATGGGTGTTGATTGGTGAGGAGAAGGTTCACATCTACACACAATTCCATAGAATTCAAAGAGAACAAAGTCTTGTTGTGTGAATTTCAGTGTAAAATAGTCCGAAAACGACCAAAAAGTTTGAAAGAGTGAAAACAAAGACTAACAATAATTGGAAAAATCTATTCAGATTCGAAAATCCATAGAATTCCGACTTCGGTACTTCCTTCAGTCGATTTTTTGATTTGAAACTGAACCCACACAAAGCTTTGACTTAGGCTGGCGCATGTGGGAAATTTGAAAACCTTTTATTGAGTTCAAGTTTCAAGTTTGGCAAACTTAGGCAGAGTAGTCTACTCTACAAAATTTATCTGTTGTCTAGATTGTATTTTTTGATCAAATTCAAAAGAAATAATGTCCTGACGTTTATCAAAGAATATTTTCTGATTGGAAACCTCGCTACGACAATGATAACGTATAGCTAAACTTACAGAATGTACATATCAGTATTTCCAAAAATAAAATGAAATCGGATGGTCTAACACATACAACCCAGTCTTATAATATTTTCCATAGGGCTTCACTTGCAAAAAGGAATATCCAACGAAAAGAAAGGCAAGAAATATGACAAAACTAATAATAAGGGCGTGCTCACAATGATGCGTAATTTATTTTTTCAACTATTTTACTTGTCACTAACAAAATATGTGAGTAACGGACACGATCAATTCTAGATAATTTTGATCTAGTATATTTAGCCAGAAAAGTACGACAGAATAATTACAAATATTCTTTTTTAATGTTCATTCTATTTTTATGTTTATTCAAGTATAAACCTATAGAAAAAAAAACTGTCTTTCGCAATCGATTTCTGATTTCTCACACTTTTAACTGGCAGAAAAAAGGTGTTTTTTGACGACAAAAATCCAAGGTCTTGATATTGAAATTAGTAGAGTATGAACAGCTCACCATATCCGACTTCCTACTCTACCTTACCCTGTACTGTGGACATCTCTGTTTTATATTTCTTATAATGTCAGTGTTCAATAACTTGCAACATCTGCTGTTGACGATTAACAGTAGATACTGGTTCCACGCGTTGACGGTTAAGAGCAATGTCTTTCACCTGCTTGTTCGTGTAGAATAGCATAATTATCATAACATTGGTAAAAAGCACTATTGAATTCATACTCAATAAATAAAATGACTCCGGTGGTGGACTTTTGACTTGTATCCCTTGCCAAAGGATAAGTATCAAAAGAGGTGCTCCGGCAGCTGCATAAAATGCCTCTATCATGATCATATTTTGTGCAAGTTTCATTTCACGTCTAGCATACGGTATACGAGTAGTCATAATATTGGATGTTGAAGGAGCAATACGTTGAGATGATTTACGAGCATGATAGAAAATTATACTATAGATAATTATGGAACTATTCAGAGGAACAATAAATGCAATAGTTATAGCATATATGGACATGAAGAAATTTTTAGATGTGAGTACGCAAAGACGTGATTCTTCTTCATATATGAAACTACCATCAAAGAAAAATGGTACAATCGAGACCAAAATACTAATAATCCAGTTCAAGGCAATCAAACGACAATGAACACGATAAGTAGCAAGATATCTATGTTTGGAGAAGACAGTGAAGAAGAGACGACTGACAGCTTGAATAATATACGAGTAGCTAATAGATGCGGGCATCACGAGAAATAAAAATGCTCGAAGAATACATCCCGGCTGTTGGATTGTCCAATCTTCATGAAAACCATAGATAGATGAAACGATATTGCAGATGAAATAGGCTGCCAGGAGTATACTCGTATTACAAGTAGCAAGATTGGCAACTGTGCGACATGTTTGATGAGCAGCAATGATCACAATTATGATAAGAGCAAAGATCAAACCAACAGTCGACACTACGATTGAAAATGAGAAATCGATAATGAAAAACAACTCAGAGAGCATGTAAGCGATTAAAACCTTTTTAATCGAATACTGTAAGAAGTGCAACGACCGCTACCACGTTTTTTTTTGTTTGCGTGTTTCCATTTTTGATGAGATAGATACAAAATGATGACAGTCTTACATCTGAATATCTACGTTTTTTTTTAAAACTGTCATCAGTGCTTTGCCATGCGTCTGATAACATCACAGTCTATTAGTAACGACTCTATAAACTGAGAATGAAGCAATGTGAGTTGACATACTATCCAACCAGAAACTAACAACATTTTCTCTATCTATCCAACGACAGAAATAACATTAGAATAAACGATGGATATGAAACAAGAAAGACTGTAGGGTGTGTGGTGCAAATGAAGAGATGAGTCAAACACCCACATTCTTATGTTTTCTACGCTTATGTGTCGATTTTCGTGATTTAACATATTGATTTTTTCGTTCATCGTTCGAAGTCGATAATTTGTCAAGGACTCAATGATTATCCGACGTGTGAAACAATTGGTTTATTTATATTTGAATAATATTTGTTAAAATTATTATCTTGTTGAATAATGCAATCGAATTATTAATACGTAAATTCGATGTTCATTGTACAAAATTATTGACGAAATACAACCTCATTATATTTATAGCTTTTTTAAATTTAATCAAGTGCAGCATTTAATGTATATCTCGGTTATACAGTGTGGCAATTCGATCTATAATAATACCTAGTATTGATAAATATATATCAATTACTTTGTTTATCATTGATTATTATTTTGATAACATATCATCTGAGTATTAACTGCTTTTCCATGAATGATATGCTTATTATGTTGTGGAAGACTCAAAGGTTGATCTATTATCTATTGATTTAAATAAAAATTGAATGAATCTTTCGATATGTTAACACGATTTATTAATTAATATAATGTTCATTGAAACATGTCTTTCATGTGATACTGGATTCAAATATATTCTCTTTTTCAATTCCTGCTAGTTTAATGCTTTTATTATGGCATTTCCATAAATAAACAACACGAAACACGTCGATGAAACGAAATCAGAATTTCTCACTATTGATTATTGTTTTTGCACATTAATTAATATTTCATTTATTTCAATAAGAAATACATTACTGAAAATCAAGAGTTGAGTCCAGTAGATTATACCTATCTTTTCTTCAGGAGACAGGTCAGTCTTTTTCAATTACTTTACGTACACCCACACCCACATCCTTCTGTAGTAAGATAAATGTGTTTATTAGAAAGTTTATAAAGATGTGTTTGGATTATAAGAAACAAGGAAAGTAGCAGTCAGCAGGAAAACACAATTAGTAGATTCTAAAAGAAACGATGGCATTCGTGTGTCTGTTAATATAAAGTTCTAATGTTGTTCATATTGCTTCTTTGTAATTTGATTTTCACTTGAATCAGTGAATGTTACCATTGCACATTGACATTCTCAACACTCTGAATCAAATCTACATCTAGCTTGTACTTGACACTTGTTAGCACATTACGGTATAACATTTCGAGTAACACATAAACCATAAATATTCATTTCGTTGTGTTGTATTGATATCAATCGGAATTCGATCTACAGTTTCTCATTCCACAGCAAATACCAAAAGAAGGAGTTAGTGACTCTTATAGTAATCGTGCTAGAATTCAATTGTGTGATTAGTATAATTATGAATGTCAAACAGGCTGACACATTAGAGGTAAGAGATCAGTTCACCGATGAAGGATTGCTCAAACAGTAGACAGTATTGTCATCACCAACACTATATTGCGATTGTGGATCGTAACATACTCCAGCACACACTCGACTTCGGATCGAACATACCGAGCCATTACGTCCAAAACAAACACTCGCTGTATTATCATAACACTCTTTATGATTACCACAAACGTTTCGATTTGAAGCCCAATAATAATAACCTGAACAAATGGTATGATTGTCAGCACAGGCCGCTAGTCACGTATGCATTGTGTTCTACATGAAAGGTATGGATAGCAGACACTATTGTTACAACGGTTAAGTATTGGGGTGGTTGTAAAAAAGCCTCATACTCACACCTACACCCCTTAACTCATCCACACCCACCCTATGAAACTTGAAATAACAGAGAAATTAAAAAAAACGAATGGTTATGATGTCCATAGTTTTAAACCTTTTTGCAGTACACCAAGGAGTTATGCGCTAGAATATTCACTTTTTGAAAACGAGTTTGAATCTGAGAAAAATAACATGAAATGCAAGAACTCAGGTCGTAATAGATAAATATGTCTGAGTTTATCGTTTTGCACACAAATGAAAGCGACTGCCAGATTCTAGGACCCACAATTGTATTGCATATCCAGGTGGGCACTGTGAGAGCCCAGGATTATAGCCATCACATGCAGGGCCATGGCTTGTTTGTGCCCATTGTATACCACATAGTGTACCTGGTAAATCTGGGTATGTAGAATTCGATTTAGCACAAAATTTAGTTGAATATTGTAAAACTCCGTTAGAAGTGAGCGATTGTCCTACTAATGAATAGCCTGATTGCAAGTAAGTGGGACATACACCATTTAAGGTATGATTACATAAAATCTGAGCGAACTGTTTACCTCCAGAATTATGAAGATCACATAGACCTCCAACAATACTTGAACTATTTTTCGATGTAACAGCTTTAAAACAAACAGTTAAATCGGCACCGACCCATGTTTGTTGAATCCAGCCCTGTGGACATCCATCCCATGGTCGGCGATTGGCACAGTTGACACGTATGTAAGATCTATCATAACCGCACAAGGTGCCACTAAGTACATCTTCGTATACTACTGGAGGATTCATAGACGAAATATGAACTGAACAATCAATACCTGTCCAGTTTTTACTACAGTTACACATACCGAATTGAAAGTAACCGGATGCTTCACACGAACCATGTGATGCATCTGTACAATTATTATAACAATACAACGGCTGTTGAATATATTTTTTCAATCAATTTTGATTTATTGTGTATTTGAAGATCATTAGGCAAACGACGTTTGGTTAATAAATCAAATATTTCTCTTATACCAAATTTAATTATAATAGGATTTAATGGTACAGTTTTTATCCATTCATTAATATCAGATATTGACGGATCACCACCAAGTTTTGTACCATAACTATGTTGAACTTCTTTCATAAACTCTTCTTGTTGAGTATTTGATTGTGAATTTTCAACTGAGACACCCAATGAAACATAGAACTGAACTTTCGCTGCGTTCTTGGTTGAAATATTTCGTGACTCAATATGTCTGTATGATTCACGATTCATAAATATGTTTTGTTGTGCTATACCACCTAATAATAATGTTGACAAAAAAGTATAACCATAATAGTTAAGTACGTAATCTCGAACATATTTTTCAGTCACCCAATCATCATCTGTGTCATCACAACACGGTAAGTTGTCAATTACAAATCGAAATGTATCAGATAGTTCCATGAGTGGTTCGAACATAGATAATTTAACTTGCGATACTTGCGCAGATGTATACATTATTGTCAAATTATTTTTTACGATATTATCGACCATATAACTTGTTTCTTTTGAATTTGTATAACTGAATGAAAAGGCATTATAACTAGCACCAACAGATACTTCAATTTTGTTTGAAATACTTTCAGACAATTGTTTCAATGTACTAATAACTTCAGTACTAGCACTTGTTACAGCCGATGGTAGACAGTCAAGCGCTACAAAATTTGGTATAAGTTTATTCGTACAAGAACCAGATGCGGAAGATTCATATTGGAGTTTGAATACTGGATGACCAAATCCTTCCATTTGACATGCACCCGTATCACAAACAGGACTGCCATAGAGTGGATTAAAACCCAGTGCAATTTTATTTGAATTTGGTAAGTAGATATTTGAATTCTCATCTTGCTGCTTCATCATCAATTCATTGTTACGCAAATAAAGCCCAACTTTTTCATAGATTACAGCCTTGTTAATTGTAGTAGCTGCTCTGGTATAACTGAGAAACGTTAGAATCAAGAAAATACCCAACAAAAATCGAACCATGACGCATGTGCTCTTCATTCTGAATAAAAAACTCCTGTTTCATAAAATTTTGATAAATTATGTTGAAGATATATATCTATATATAGTTCTCTTCGAAGGAAGTACTATATTGACTTTTTTACTCATAAAACTGCTTTTTTATGACATGAGTCAAGCGATAAAGGAGGTTATACGAGTTAATTCCAACAAATAGTCAATTTACTCTATTGTAAAAGTAAGAAACAAGTTAACATGACGTTTTTATTTTTGCAATCAACAAATACTTGACAAAAATAGAACGAGATATGCGTATTTACCATTGATTCATGCAGTTAAAGAGAAGGAGGGTGTGGGGTGTGGATGTGGGATGGGTGTGGGTGTGCATGAAGATAAGACACCCACACCCACCCACATCGCGGCAGTTCATCTACACAGCATTTACTGACGTTCAAATACTGCTTTTTCCATTGTTTATATGTCGAAAATCTACCGAAAATGGATTCCTTTTGATTGGCATAGGTAGTGTGATCAAATTCTTTTACTATTCATACTTATTTCGTTTGTAATCTCTCTATTTCAAATATAGGGGTGACGCTTTGGTTCTAAATAACATCTATAACAAATTTTGTACCAAATTAAGGCGTGTGGAAAATGAGATTTATAGATGCTAAATAGTAAAGGTTATGGCAACCTTTTAGTGTCGAATTCAAGAAATGTCTAGAATTTCACACCATTTTCACATTGAAAAATTACTTTTATGAGGCAGTTTAAACTAGATCTCATTTAAAATGATGAATAACAAAGTACTCGACACTTGGTCTGGAAAAATTGGAACAGTAATCAAAAATGAAACGCAATGAAAATGCTATAGGAGATGAAACACAATCTTTATGATGAAGAAACTTTGAAAAACATGGAAACAAACATTGAGTTATTTGAAACCATTTCATGTTTGTATCCGTCTCATATTCGTGCTGTAAAGAAAGTTAATGGTCATTATACTGATTATTGGTCATATTTATCAAACCATAAGATATATATAGTACTTTATGATATTTCTTATTTTAAATGAGATCTAGTTTGAACAGTCTCACGAAAGTGATTTTTTTCAATGTGAAAATGGTGTGAAATTCTAGGAATTTCTTGAATTCTACACTAAACAGTTGCCATAACCTGTACTGTTTAGCATCGATAAATTCCATTTTCGATGCGCTTTAATTTGGTATAAAAATTGTTATGTATACGATTTGAAACCATAGCGATACGCCCCTGGAAAAATATCTTTACCCACATTGTACAATAAAATAATAAAATGATAATACTCACTATACTTTTTTGTGTGTAACAAGCGTTTACCATTTTGTTGGAATATTAATTTCACTCATGAACAAGATTATTTTCTAATTGGCATTTCATTTTATACTTGCTCAGTTATTTTGTTATTGTACAAATGATATAAAATATACTTTATTCATGAGGCAAGCAACATTATTATATTCATATAAATAATTTTTATCATTAAACGTCAATCGAAACAAATATTATGCGCATATGTGCAAACTAGTGTGAAATGTATAACGAAGAGACGACATAAGCTATATCGAATAAACAATGCATTTTGGTTGTATAAGCATTGCGAATCTTTTTTTTTCTGCCGTGGGTGTACGTTTTTTTCCATTCCTACTCTTTACATGTTCTGATGAGATACCGATTCAAGAAACAAGTAAGAGCAAGATAATTACAAAAAAAGGAAGGATAGATTTTTTAATATAAAGTTCTTTTATAAGGAACAGTAGAGAAAACAACTCATTCGTCTGTAGTTATAAAATATTTAATTAAACCAAGCTGAAACAGCTCAAATTTCATTTACATCCAGAAAATGCTTCTCTTAAGCGTGAAATCTATCGTATATTTGCGTAAATCATCAAAGTTTTAAATCGTTTTCTGGGTAAACTATCAAAGAATGCAAATGAAACTTAAAACAACTAGCGTCTGAATCTTTTGCTTGTCAAGTGGATATACTTTTATATGGATAAAAAATGAGCCGGTATCTGTTGAAATATTTAGCGATTTTGTCATTTTCACTGGAATACGGGAAATGTTTTCACGAGAACATTCAATGAAAGATAGAAAATTGTTTAAAAATGTCAAACGATAATATATTCTTTATGAAAACTTCTTTCATCTCTGAAGTAAAATGTGCATGATATACGAGCCATCGATCTATTTGAGGGTATGGGATATAGAGAAGGAAAGTTACCGTTACGTTATTCCGTTACCGTTATCCGATAACTGGTAACGTAACTGTCTGGTAACGGTAACTTCTCTCCCCTAGTGGAGTGTGAATGGGTGTGGCTGTGGGTGTTGATTCTCTCTTCACGTACTCCCATGCACATTCATGCCAACACTCACACACACCGGCATCCCCAAATTGTATCGTCGTCGAATAGTAACACTTTCGTATTGAAGCAAAGGGAAAAAACGTTCCCGAGGAAATATTAAATTTTGAATGAGTAAATGTTGAGTTCTACATAACCAATGGCTTGAACTAGTATTCCTTCATTAGAAGTGAAGAAGAACTAAGAAAAACTTGAATTAAATAAATGACATGCTGCCGAGTTTCCTTCGTCTTCAGTGATTAAGCTTATGTACCAAAGAAACATCTTCAACCAATCGAACATACCCGAAATAAAATCTCTTGTTTTTTTTTTGAGAACATAAGTGCTTTGCCGTTTTTCTGCTTTTCAGTAAAATAGATCGAGCATTCTTCTTTCGAAAGTCGAAATTAAATTAAAACGAGTGTTGACTTGTTTCTTTTTAAACGCATTTTTTCATGACACAACCTGCGACTTTTTTTTGAAACGCACTAAATTTATACAGAACAAAATATCATTTCCAAATAAGTATTAACTGTGTTTCATCTAAATAAGATAAAATGATTCGATCCCCCTCATCCTACCTATTCTTAACTGGTCAGTAGGAATCTTACAAATATTGTTAAGCCTATTCTCTAGATTCTAAAGGTTCCGTTGCCAATGCTAGAAACAGTATATTATTTAGTATAGAAATCGGTTGCCCTTATTCGAAGTTTCGATTTGTCCATTTGAGAAGAAATCTTGTGAAAATATTCTAAAATATGATGATTCGATGAATATAAAATAATGACTTCAACTACCCGTCTAACCTAGATCAGTTTTTATCATGACGAATTTAATGAAGTTTTGTCAAGAAAATTGAAAAATTTTTCCTATAGTCTAACATTTGTTATTCATTATGAAAGTTCCTAAATAAACTGACACGATGGAGAGGCATTATCGAAAACATCTTGTTAATTGAACATAAAACGAGATCATATCGATTATTTGAAAATGAAAAGTTTATTAATTTAAAATCGAAATCTATTAAACTTGTTTTGGTGAAATTTTCACAATCTAGTTTAAATCTTTGTTTGCAATATGCTTTGTATACTTGAATCTATTGCTAATATAATTATGAAAATTGTAAAAGAAAGCCAAAATATATTTGAAAGAATGAAATTAATCGTTAGTGATGACTTTAAAGATGAACAAGTACTTCTAAGATTGGTTGCATTAGAAAGAAAATATTTATTAGGCGAAGTAATTGTGAAAAATCATATGAATTATTCGCTTCAATTGAAGTTTATGTTGACTATTTCTTTCTTTATGCTCAATATGATGCTTCACTTTATTCAGTTCTTCAAAGAATTTATCTTTTTTGTCCGAACAATAATCAATTTTCAATATATATTATTTATAAATTATTTGATGAATTATTTCTTTCCAATACTCAAACGTATAATGAAGATAAACAAGTTTGGAAAGATATTGAAGATAAACCTACGTTTTTATGTATTAAAATAAATATGTTTATCTTTGTTGTTGTTTTTTTTTATTTGATACAACATATCGTCAACTTTCAAAATTAATTGAAATAGATGATTTAATAAAAACAGAATTTTCTTCAGTTGATCAAAAACAAATGGAGCAAAATCTTAAAAGCTATTCAATTATTTATTAAGTTAATTTTACCATTCGTTTTGAAAAGGGTGTAGGTTAAGAGGAGACTAGTGATCACATCAATCCTAATAGTAAAAAATGTAATAAGAAAGAAAGAGTAGACAGTTTTGAAAATATCTATTCTCTCTTTCTTGCTACCCATTTTTGTCTTTCTATGTGTTAAGTTTTGTTGTTTCTGATTCTTGCTTCTGAAAATGGCGCGTGATACTTATCGAAAGTTCAAGATAGAATAATAGTCGTTTAAATTAAGACATCTAAAAGTATATGTCATGACACTTTGCTAAATTTGTGTCGTTATTTATTTGTAACTCTACCAACTAGTTTCATATTCTCTGTTCTTTTTCTACTTTTTACTTTCAATGACACATCGTCTTACTTTTTCATCTTATTATTTTCATCATGTTCTGAACTTTTTTCATACTCATGCATGCATATTGCTGATGAATTTACAATAAGAATTAGATATATCTGAGATTATTGCCAAAGAATATAAAGAAGAATGATTGCGAGAAACATCGAAAGAAACAGATATTTAAACTTGATCATCCTTGAAAGCAGACGGGGAATAAAACATGTTTAACAAACATGCACATTGATGAAAGAAATTTGTAACAATATAATTGCATACCAGCTATGACACAGACGCACTCAGGTGGTCGGTGATATTACTTAGATCCACACCAAGATAAACTGACAAGGTGTGAAAGTTACTTTTATAATATCTTAAGATATTGTGCAGGAAGTACTTAATGATGGCTAACTCAATTGATTCATCAAATCTAACACGAGTCATCAGCCTTCATATTATTCTTCGGATTGTAAAACTTCAAACTATCTAAATGATTGAATTCTCGACTT